AGCAAACGGTAGCTTACACCATCCGCAAGCGACAGCCTCTCCCGCTTGCAAGCGACAGCCCAGACACCTACCATTGCAGATCATCCCCAGATTTCAACTAAGTGTTCTAACTGCAGCGGTACAGTCATTCCATTTCCAGCCAGCAAGCGAGCCTAGCTGCGCTGATGCCCTCCAGCTCTCCGGCAAACGAGGAAGATCTGAGCCCTTGAAATTCAGTGCAATCAAAGCGAGCGACCTGGGAGTTATGGCCAGCAACTACTTCAACAGAATAACCACCAGTAACCGCTAACTGCCCAGCAGTTGGAACCGCCCAACAACTGATTGCAACCATCCCGTTTCACCTACTTTAAATAGGGCCAAATATCTTTATGTAAAAGGGGATCGATACTTTGATTTTAAATACTCTTAGCAATTACTTTTCGCAAGCAAGTCATCTTCCTGTTTCCGAGAGCTCCAACCCTGTAAGGGAGTTCTCCACATGAATGGCCAAGGGAGTGAGGATTTTTCTTCTCCCTTGGCCAAGTCTTTACAGCTTTCTTAGAATAGATTACTGCTTTTGTTTGCAGCTTTGTAGCGCTAGTCTTTCCCTACTTTCGTAGTAGATAATAAAATATTATTTAGTTCTTCATCCTCATTTCTTTCACACTTTTTACACACTTATATAAAGTTTGAATTTAGAGACTTTCATTTCACTGGTTTAGAGAAAGAGAAGAATTGATTATTTGAGCCTTGTTATGCGCCAAAAGTGGTCTCAAGGTAGTTCAATGTAGTTAAGTACGGGAGAGCCTTGTCGACTTGCTTAACTATGTTCTGAATTCAATTTTGATTAAAAAGAGGTAACAGAAGGGTAAAGCCACTAATGAGGCAGATATTGGGATAATTAATGGGGCATAGGGGGTGGTCTATTAGGTTACAGAGATTCATAGTGACAGTACGGTTTCTTTCTTATAATGTCTCGATTCTGGGTGTCATTGAAGTCTTGTTGTAAATCCCTTAAGGTCAAAATTCCAGTGTTATGAATTCTTTATATTTCAGTTTATATAATTACATGACGCCCTCCTAACCGCTTCCGTAATATGTATTTCCGATAATACACTTACATCGCTCGCTCACTACTTCCAGGGAAATCTATCCATTTAGTAACGCACAGATCAGACACAACACCTCTCCCTTATTCTTTGTTGCTCATATGTATACATATACATATATACATATAAAATGTGCCGCTTGCTCATGTCCCGTTCACTCGGTAACCGTCATTCATCCATGTCCCGTTCATCTGGTCTCCACTTCCGCTCATGTCCCAATCATCCGGTTACCGCTGGCAGTTCACCTTCCGCCCTCGCTTCTCTCGCTTCCGTTCACCTCATTTTTACCGCTTTGTTTACTGCTATCTATAGCTTAGCTTTTGGATCCGCTGCAAGCAGATCTCTTAATGCATTTTTCGTCGTTTTTTCACGATTTTCACCTTCGAAATTCATGACTTAAAATCCATGTGTTCGACCTGGAAACTCACTAGTAAAAAGAGTAAATAATATTGATAAGTACTCAGGGTCTACAACCACAAAATTACTATATCTGATCGCTTTTCTATAAATTTTCACTCACTGATTTTCGAATATAAATTCCCTGTGAATTTGTACAAGATTAAAGAATACAAATTTTGGATATGAATTATACTCGGTATTTTTATATTTGTTATTTGAGAAGCAAATATAGTCTTTTGAAGTTTTTAAGAACTTTAAGAATGAAGTTAAAAATTGAATTGGAATTCCAATCAAAGAGATTTGAGACAATAGAGGCGGAAAATGTATAGTTTTGTTAGGATAATTTTGTCGTCAAAAGGCATTATTAATCAAATTATGGCCCCATATCTTCCGTAGTAAAAAAATATTGTAAAATGCGAAAATCAAACACTAAAGAACATGATAAATATTCAGTTAATACATTATGGATTGCCTTAGAACTTGTTGGGGAAGTTGTGTTGACAAAGAATTATATTTTGGTTAAAATTACCATAAGAATGTAAGTTCTTATGAGTTGTGAAAAGGACATAAGTATTCCTATAAATACCTAAAAGTATGGGAGTGTTTGGTTTTGACAAAGGTTGAAGTTCCTTTACCCAATAAGATTTCTATCGGACTAAGATTGGTCTAAGATTGGTCGATTACATATTTTTAGGCATGCACTTCACAAAAAACTCTGACGTAAGTGAATGGATAATGATAGAGACATAGAGTCACATAATGCTATTTTATTTGAAAATATATTTTCGAGTAGTGACAAAAATGACATTACTAAAAATTCACATAGAGTCACATAATGCTACTTTATTAGAAAACATATTTTCGAGTAGTGACAAAAATGACATTACTAAAAATTCTTGAAAGAAAATGTAAGAAGAGACTATTGGTTTTGATCATTTAGAAGAAAATTTGAGATACAGGCAAATGATCAAATTGTTCAAAAACTTTGGTCTAAATTAATGATCAAATTGTTCAAAAACTTTGGTCTAAATTTCATCATTTATATGTTAGATGATCAAAGACAATGAAGGAAGCATTTTCAGAACCAGACGCTGAATTCTAGCACTGTGGTAATAAATGATGAAGTTGTCGATTGTACCAAATTATACTTGTATCTTGAATAATCTATAGAAGGATTGTAAGACCATGAGATGTAAATGGATTCTAAATATTAATTACAAGGTTGATGGTTCAATTGAGAATTTTAGGTATGATTGGTTATTAAAAATTTACTGGAAAAAAATTCTTATATATATATATATATATATATTATTCTTTCTATGATAACCTCATTTAGAACGCTTCTTGTGATTGTTGCATTGCATAATCTTAAAGTATTTTAAACTCATGAAAATTATTTTGGTTGAGAATCTTTTGAAGCGCCACAATTTACTTCCTTTTTTGTAATTGTATTTTTTGTGTTTTTACTAATTTTTCTAACTTTTACTTATATAAGGGATTTTTAGAATTCTTAGTTTGACATAATCCAAATAATCAAATATTAAATAAAATATTTAATTATTGAAAATAAAATAACTAATCATTTTAAAAATTAAATCGGATGAGTGATAAATAAATGTATTGAATTGTAAATTATAATTATCCAAGTCATGTTGCATTTCAACGTAATGAATGAAACCATGCCTAATCTTATACAAAATAGATTGAATTGAATTTTTAAACTAAAGCTAAAGCTTAAACATAACATATATTAATTGGGCTTTAGTTTAGATCTAGACTATCATTTTACTCTCGGACATAACTCTATTATCATTTTAGGGTTCTAATCGGACATGATATTGAATTAGTTCTACAATTAAAAGTATTTGGTATAAATGATTCTCAGGTGTCGATGTTGTTGGCAGCATCGTAGCACGCCGAATATTATTTGAATATCAAGGAATATCTACCTAAGAATCATTTCAATACTTATATACCTTTATTACATTATCTCTTTATTTTATTTAATTACTAACTAAATTTAAAAAATACTACTAACTATATATTTTTTACTTTTATTATTTTTTAATAAATATTTATTTTTTAATCACAGTACCGGACTTAAGTGTACTAATTAATTTTAATGAACAGGGCAAGTATAATTAAAGTTGACTATATTATAACTCTAGAACTTTTGAAAACTATCAAAATGAAATTTTGCATCATTTTTGTAATTTCAATTTATTAGGCAAAAGCTAAACAATTCTGAAATATGTATAAAAACATGTTTTAGAGAAAATGACGTTGATCTTTTTTTTTTTTTTTTGTTTCGAATCTAAGAGTTGAGAAATTTTTAAGGATTTGCAACAAAAATAGGTATAAAATCTTGTAATAAAGTATATATTTTGAAAATAGTTATGTCCCAAGAACACTTTCAAATCTTCTACCACAAGACAAATAATGATATACTGAACTTCCAATAAGGAAATATTGTTTTGTATATATATGATGTGGTATATGGTTGTTCAAAACTTCCACGAAAAGACAAATAATTATACGCTTACTAAGGTTTGAAATTCTCTTGTAATCTTGATTTCCAATATTTTAGAATGTCTGATTTTTTTTTCTTAATTCGATCTAGAGCATTGCACAATTCTTTTTTTTTTTTTTTTTCTTCAATTGAGTGATTTTGAGAGAAAAAGAATTTTTTTTTTTTTGTGTGTGAAATAATTCCAACACCTAATAGAAAGTAATTTGTATAATTATATATTTTCATATCCTAATTAAAATGCATATCAAATGACATTTTGTCCACAAATATAATCCCATCCGTTGATATATGTTAAAATACAACGGCTGAGATCATTATACCCGAACTGATATATATATATATATATTCAAGTATACGAAAGACATAGCTACTAAGGTCTGAGTTATTTCCCAACACTTAATAATGAGGGAGATGACCATTTGAATAATTAAATGAAGTATTTGGAAAAAGAAAATAGCGACAACGATGATGATGACGATGATCAAGGTTGAAGAGCTAGCAGTAGTTTTGAGTGACTTTTGAGGGAAACAGTGAAATTGAATGCATGGTTGAATAGTGAATATTTTAGTAGTAGTTTGTCTCAAGAGAGATTGAATTGAGTTTGAGAAACATACATACATACATACATACATGACAATTCACATGTAGTGTGGGTGAGTGATAAACAAAAGTTAGGTATGGGTTAGGGTAGGGGTAGGGGTAGGGGGTAGGGGTAGGGGTGTAGCAGACGCAGTGATCGTGAAGCAATCAAGTTGGTAATTTGGGAGAGCAATGGCGGCGGCCGTCCGGGAAGGAAATGGCATACCTGTAATTCTTGGCTTCTAATTAATGCACCCAAATAACACCACCAGCCAGCCACACACTGAATTATAGAGAGAGATGACTTCCTTTCTCTCAATAATCTGCACCCTAGCTACCCCTTCACCTGTTTTATTATTATTATTATTATTATTATTATAAATCATCATCGATCACCTCTCTCTCTCTCTTTCTCTCTCTCTCTCTCTCTCTCTGTACGGCCCCTCCAAGCTTCCCAGATCCCTCTTGATCGGAGTCGGGGATTGGGGTTATTAAGTCTTTAATCTCTGCTGGTTTCTCGTCTTGCTGTAGTTTTTAACTGTTTTGATTTTTAATTTTTAATTAGGGTTTGTTGAATATATATGTTTAGTTTTTCACATGCGAAGCCAAAGTTGTGGAGGAGGGAGAAGAGTGGATTTTTGGGAAAATCGGGAAATTTTGTTTAGAGGATCACTAACTTCTCTTGCGGAATGGATTATTGGTCCGAAATACTAATAATTATAATACTAGGGTTTCATTATTTGCTTAAAATTAGAATTAGATGGCAGGCTTTTTCTCACTAGGCGGCGGCGGAGGTGGTGGGAGGGGGCCCGGAGGAGCCTCAGCCACCAATTTATTTAATAATAATAATAATCATCATCATCAACATCATAGCGGCTCCGAAATCAATCCGGAAAGCAGCAGCAGCAGCTGGTTCCTCTTCCGGAACGACCTGGAAATTCCCTACAGAGGCGGCGGCGGCGGCGGCGGTGGCTTTGATTTATGGCCGGCGGCGGCGGCGCCATCATCTCAGCTGGAGTTCCTGCCGCTGCAGGATGTGGTGGGGCCGAGCCGCGGCAGCATGTTGGGCGGCGAGGGGTTTCTGATGATGAGGAGCGGCGGCGCCGGCGGTGGCGGAGGGATCAGCTGCCAGGACTGCGGCAACCAGGCTAAGAAGGACTGCGCCCACATGCGGTGCCGGACCTGCTGCAAGAGCCGCGGGTTCCAGTGCCAGACCCACGTGAAGAGCACGTGGGTGCCCGCCGCCAAGCGCCGCGAACGCCAGCAGCAGCAGGCCGCTACCGCCACCGCCGCCGACTCCAGCTCCACCAGGCAAACAACCCCAACCACCCACCTAAGAGGCACCAAAAGGCATAGGAATAGGCATAGCGACACCACCACCACCACCAACAACAACAATAATTCTCTTGTCTGCACGCGCATCACCACCACCGCCACGACTACTTCAGGTTTACAGTTAATTATTGGCCAGCCCTAACCCTAACCCTAATTAATTGATTGCCCTAAATTTCACAAGAATTTAATTAATCAAATCTGTGATTAGGGTTACAAATTGGGAATTTTCCGGCGGAGGCGAACGCGGAGGCGGTTTTCCGATTGGTGGATGAATACGCATACGAGTCGGCAGTGAACATCGGCGGCCACGTCTTCAAGGGAATTCTGTACGACGAAGGCACCGAGAGCCAACAGATGGCACCGCCGCCGGAAACCGATTCTTCCGGTGGAGCCATAGCTGGAGCTGGAAGAAACCTGCAGCTTAATTATAATAATAATAATAATAATAATAATAATAATTTGATGAGAAGCAGTAGAGCAACAGGCGGCGGCGCAGGATCTTGTGATGTGCTTCTAGATCCTTCGAATTCGGTCATATATCCACCGGCGATTAACAGCTTCATTACGGGTACGCACTTCTTCCCACCCCCGAGGTCCTCAAATTAATTACCAGCACTCATGTATTGTTTCACTAATTGAAAATTAATTTATTACACACTTACGAGGATGATTCTTATTATTATTATTATTATTATCAATCAATTATGTTTCTGTCTGCCTGCTCATATCGTGTCTTCATTGTCGTTCAATACGCAGCAAATTAAGATTAAAGCTAAGGCAACTTTGATTTATATATCATGGATTAAGGTCTTTCAAAATATAAATATATATATATATATTTTTCTCATAGAATCGAAATTGTCTGGTAAAATCATATTTAGATTAAATCTTGATATATATGTTCTTGCTGAAAGCACTAGAAAAGAATTTAATTAAGGAGAGGGTTTCTTGCGTTTATATTATGTAGAGGATTGTTTATCCAGACAGATGGCACATATATATATATATATAAAGAAAATTGCAAAATATATCCATACTTATATTACATTATCATTTTTGTCTTGTATTTATCTCGCCGGCAAAATATATCTCATATATTTACAAAAGTCACTATTTATATCCTTTGCCCACGCGTGACATTTACACCACGCGCGGTTACGCACGGTCAAATGATAGAAATAACGACTTTTGCAAACATGTGAGATGTATTTTGCCAGCGACATAAATACAGGACAAAAGTTATAATGAATATACGTGCGGAGATATCTTTTGTAATTTTCCCTCTATATATATATGTTAAGTCATGATAAGATCTGGTTCAAAAACTTCAAATTTCATATAGGTCATTTTCAACTTTTGTATATGTAGATATATGTATATATATCATTTGTGAGATGATTTTCCAAGATTAATAATAATGATATATTTTTCAGTGTTTCTAAAAAGTAAACTGGTCACTTTTATTTAATGGATTAATTGAAAATTTCTGGTTTTAGTTTACATAACATTTTCTGGAAACATTTGAAAAATGGAAAAATGCAAAATGTAGGTTTTTATGACCCTATAAATGGACATTTATAATTTCCTTTATTTTGTGTCTAGTTGTCTATCACTTACCATAATTTTATTGGATGAGACATAAAAGGAAGAGATATAGAGCTCCTGCAAATCATGCCATTTCATTTCATTTTATACAATAATACTTTATTTATTATTATTATTATTATTTATTTATTTATTTCAAGTTATATGTGTATTTTTTATGAATGAAGGCATCAAGGTATATGTATAAATATAGGTCACTGTAAACATATGAAAAAATGGTGTCTGTAATGGGCAACAGAAGCATTTGGAATAATTTCTTGAATGGTAAATACTTGTCTTGGAAGAATAATGATGCCCTAATTAATATATACACATTCTTTCATTCCTTTGGGTTTTTCCAACTCTCTGATTATCTTTGTGTTTTTTAATGGTAAATCAATAACATGCATGTTTGGTGCCCAATGTAATTGCATACTCAATCATATATGTATGTGTATGTATATATATATATATATGTATATTATACACATCATATATTTTTTAGAATTTTGAGTTTGTTTAGGGTGTGTTTGTTTCGGGATTTGGATTTTCAGTTGAGATTTGAATAGTAAAAATTTTGAATTTGAATAGTTGTATGATGTGTTGATGCGATATTTTGAATGTAAAATTAATTTGTAGTATAATATAAAAAATAAAATATAGATGTTTGATTTGATATTTTTGGAGAAAAAAAATTGGATAAATAGTGTATTTGGGGGAAAATTTCCCAAACAAACACACTATTAGTGTTTTTATGTGGAACAATTATTCAAAAATATTATTAAAAAATACAATATACACACATTAACACAATATATAATAGTATATATTTTATTTGCTCATAAAAAATCAACAGTTCAATGCAAAATATCATTTTATATAATAGCAACACAATTTCTTGTACCTAATATAAAAACACATCAATCAAAAAATACAAAGTGAACAAATGTTGCTTGGTTTTTAGGAATTCTTACAATAAATACAAGGGTGTGTTTGTTTGGGGGGTTTGGATTTTGGATTGACATTTAAATAGTAAAATTTTTGAATTTGAATAGTTGTATGATGTGGTATAAATAGGCGTTGATGTGATATTTTGAATATAAAGTTGAATTTTAATAAATATAAAAATAAAAAATAAATATTTGATTTGATATTTTTTTTTGGGTGAAATGTAGAAATTGGTAGAAATCCATCAAACTAACAACCGATGTGGATGTTATAACCACGTTCTTTATTAATTTGAAGCGAGACATATATTTGTGTGCACGACGGTGATTACAGCACTGTCCGAATAGCACAATATTATCTATACAAGATAATACATTAAATATAAATGTGCAATACATATATAAAATAGAAAGGAACAACACATACTAATATTATATATTAGTATGTGTTGTCTGCTATAGTTTCATATGCTCTCAGTAATATTTTCATGTATTGATCGAAACAATTAGCATCAACACCCTAACCGAAGAGTTGTGTGCACACACATTTGATACACATATAAAATAGAAGGAACAACATATACTAATATTTTATACAACATGAATGATTTGTTATATTTTCATATGCTATCTATAATATTTTTATGTTTTGATTGGAACAATTAACATCAACACCCTAACCGAAGATTTGTGTGCACACACATTCGATACACATAAAATAGTTAAAACAACACATACTAATATTTTATACAGCATGTAATGTCTGTTATATTTTCATATACTATCTAAGTATTTTCATATATTGATTGGAATAATTAGCATCAACACCATAACCGAGAGTTGTGTCCATACGCATTCGATATGCATATAAAATAGAACGAACAATACATACTAATATTGTATACAGCGTGTATTGTTGTTATATTTTCATATGCTATCTATAATATTTTTTCATATATTGATTGGAATAATTAGCATCAACTATCTAACCGAAGAGTTGTGTGCACAAGAAACAATACTTTTCAGTCAATTAAATTTATTCATTTTTATGTTCTGTTCATCCGTTAAATTTACATTTTTCATTAAATTTAACAAAGTAAAATATTTTAACATTTAACTATTACCTTCGATTAAATATTTATTAACCATAATTATCACTAATTTTTATTATATTTTCTCCCCATTCAATTTAATTACTAATAGAATTTAAAAAAAATACACCCAAAAACTTTTTTATTTTTCTTATTTTTTTAATAAATATATATATATATATATTTTTAATCTCTTTCAATGGGAGGGAGTACATCATATAAATGTATATAATTATGGCTTAAATTATACTTTAGGTTATTGTGGGTAATTATAATAAGTTGTTGGTGTGGATTTACAGTGCCATTTATTTTGGGACTGCACGTCGATCTTTAATTTTAATTTACACACACACACAGGTATGTGTATGTGTGTGTGTTTGGCTGCATGCATGTGTCTCTACTATTCCCTTAATTATACAGCTTTGATTCCTTTCCTCTCGACATTTATATAAATAAATAAATAAATATATATTAAAACCAATATGGAAATAAAAACCCATTGAAGAAAACAGACACAAGAATAAATTCAGATGTTGCTTTCTCCCACCTTAGCTTTCTTTATCTCTATATATGTACACTACGTACTGTATGTAAAATTATCGATCCATTTTATTTTAGGATAAACTGTTTTTTTTTAGTCTTGTATCTTACCCACTTTATCATTTTAGGACTTTAAGTGGACCCTGTCTGAAAATAATCCCGCAAGTAAAATTTTTTTGCTAAAATGGGCCTCCGATGCCGAACTCGCCACGCTTGCCCGTCGTTGCTGACGTGGCGCTAACACGGCTCATATGTCATCGCCATGTAGATATCACATTGATCAGCGGAATGTGGAATTTTTTTTATTTTTTATTTTACAAAATGTCTTGGTAAATTATTTTTTTAGTCCCGTATATGACTTTTTTTATTATTTTTAGGACATTCAAGTGGACTATGTTTCAAAATAGTCCTATAGGTAAAAAATTTTCACTAAAATGATCCTCCAACGTGGCATCTACGTGGCGATGACATGTCAGCCGCATCAGCGCCACGTCAGCAACGGCTGCTAGTGTGGCAAGTCCAACACCGGATGACCATTTTAGCGAAAAATTTTTACTTATGGGACTATTTTCAAACAGAATTCATTTAAAGTTCTAAATTAATAAAGAGGGTTAGATACGGAACTATAAAAATAATTTACTCTTTATTTTATTTTATAAGTTAAAGTATTTATGTATGTATGTGCAAAATCAATAAACCAAATTAATTAAGTGGCAACAAATAATTTAACTAATTAAAGTTGTCTTGCCATACACTGCAATCCTCAATTTTCCTTTTACACGTTTTCACCAATTTATGACCTTAATTGTCTGTTATTTTGCTCATCAATAATTTTCAATCTATTGAATATACACACACATTATTAATGCAATGTCTGTCTCCCTGGCCAGCTGGGAAAGATAACCAAATTTCTAGGAAACCCTAATTTTAATTAATTCGATCCAACATTAATGACACTTAATTTGCTTAAATAAACTGTAATTTAAAAAAGAATAGTGAATTATAATATAGGGAAAAAAAAATCATTTTTAGTCCCAATATAACCAAAATTCATCAATTTTGGTCCCAATATAAAAATCTTATCAATTGTGGCCCCAATATAACCAAAACTCATCATTTTTTTGTCCCAGTATAATCAAAATTCATCATTTTTTTGTCACAATATAAGATATTTGTCAATTTTAGTTCCAATATAACAAAAACTCATCATTTTTTGTCCCAATATAATCAAATTTTATCTTTTTTGGTCCCACCGTCAACAAACCGACGGAAAATGCTGACGTGAAAAGAAATCAAATCTTATATTTATATTTGAAGAAATTGCACAATCTTGCAAGTCCACGTCAGCATTTTCCGTCGGTTTGTTGACGGTGGAACCAAAAAAATAAGGTTTGATTATATTGAGACAAAAAATGATGAGTTTTGTTTATATTGGGACTAAAATTGATAAAAATTTTATATTGGGACCAAGAATGATGAGTTTTGGTTATATTGAGACAAAAAATATGAATTTTGGTTATATTTGGACCAAAATTGATAAATTTTTTAT